TTGCGAAAAAGAGTTTCTCAAATCCATATTTGCAATTTTCCGAATCAAAGGTTTGAGAGTAGATTGTTCGAACTGTAAAGGTAGGTCAGAAGGGAAAATTCTTATGTCTTTGTTTGTAGCTTTCTGAATCGAAGGATTAAGAGCAATGTGTTCGTAATCCAAAGGTTGGTAATTTGCAAAGGCATCCATGACCTGAATATAGAAAGGTGGGTAAAGGTGGCTAATAAATGCATGCTTTCGATGAGGAACAGCATCGACATATGACTCTTCGTGTGCTTGATCGCTGGAGGAAAGAATTAATTTGGCCATGAAATGTATCAGTCTGTTCGAATACTAAGATAGTGAAAATATTTAAAGGATCAAAACGAGAGTATTAATACAAATGGTGAGTGACAGTTGCATTCCTGGGAAGATGCAAAACCCGTGCACGTTCTAAGACGTGGGAAAAAGGACCCTAATATCACCAAGTCTTGGGCATATTAGTGCGGGGGATAATGTTGGCTACATATTTTATGCTAGCCAGTGACAATTCGACGCGTGGCAAAGTAAGGGTAATATGGGGAGACCAGTCAGGTCTTCGATCCTGATCATACACATGGCAGTTAATATTGGTTGTTATAAGATCTGAGTAGCAGCGGATCAACAAAGAGATGTACGGTGACGTGACTTCAACGGTTGCTCACATTCAAATTCAAATATAGGAGGGAAGCCTAACTGCAAGTGAAGGCGTAGTGGAACTACTTATAAGGTAGCATGATCAGCGATCACGGAGGAGCAGTTCGATGGTTTGAAGTGCAGCTCGATGGGTATCTTTGGAGAGTATAAATAGCAGGAAGGACTTCAGAGAAGGGGATGGAGAAAAATCTAAAGAAAACCAGTCTTACTTTACATATTCCAGTTTTATTTCCTGTTCTTTTCATTTCTGTACTTTAAGTTCCTGCACTGCACTTCATTTGTAGGAGTAGTTTTCGAGTATATTGCCGCTGTAAATCTCTACGAAGCTGAGATCATTGTAAGTTTTTCATACTAATGAAATGCTTCAATTTATTTAAATGTTCTTATGCTCAAATTCTCTGAAATCAAGCTACCAGTAAGTCACCAGTAAAAGTCCTCTTTATTGAGGCTAAAAGAACCATAACACAATCGTTTGAATAATTGGTTGACAATTACAATTCTGTAAGGACTGATTGATCCTTGCTAGCACGCTCATAATTACAAAAATAACCTTCGAAAGTCAAAAAGCCAACAGATAGAGATTTAGAAAAGAAAATGAAAAATGTGTGTGAAACTAAGTGAAATATAAGTATATTTTGTTCATATTTCATCTAACTTTTCTCTTTCTCTTTTCAAATTTTTCCTCAAATCTTTTAACTAAACACAACATTATGATAAAAAAATTTAACCCAATTCGCTTGTTTATAAAATATTAAATTTTAATTTTATATTATTTAGCCGGCACACCCAGCGAAACACAACTTAAGGGAAAGGTGGGATTAAGGTCAAGTTCGATACAGGTGGTTGAAAAGAAAGTGTGAATCGAATATAAATTATTTTTTTAATTTTTTTTCACTTTTTTTTTTCTTTCATAAATTTTTATATAAATTTAAAATTCAAACACATGTTAATTTTTATCTAGTTTTAAATCTGCACTTATTGTAATTACTTATTGTATTAACTTGATCACTGTAATTTTAATTGGATCAATTTTGTCTTTTATTTTTTCATAGTGAATCAATTTAATTCAATTAATAATATCCGTTACGAGATTGAACAAAAATCAATAATAAAATGGTGTATTCAAAAGAGAATTGGCTTCATTTCCGATGTACCAAAAAAAAAAAAAAAAAAAAAAAACAGAGAAAATTTTGTAAAAAAAAAAAAACAGAGAGAGAATTGGCCATTTCAAATTGGCTGTCAACTTGTCAATGAATTTGGGGAGAGTAATGAACTATTTTGCCCCCAATGATTTCAATCCAATTTCTGAAAGATATAATAAAAAAATTAAAGAATTAAATTGACACAGTAAACAAATTATAGGGACTACATATATATGTAATTTATATTAAAAAAAAAAAAAAACCCACTAAATTTAGCTCAAAAAAATAATGGATGGGCTTATTGTCTGGATTGTGGCCTTTACACGACCGCTCAAATACGGACTATGAAAGTGAAGACCAGCGTAACCTAAACCGAGTTGGGCCCATATTGAGGCCTTAGCTGAGCCTTCGAACTCACATCTATTCTTGATTATGAGTCTTTTGGTGTAGTTTAATTCAAGTTGAAAAATTAGAAAGTATAAATTAAAGAAAAAATTATTGAGAAGCCCAAAGAGTGTTTTCGGACAAGAGATCCAAGCTTTGATTTTTTTGTTTGATTATACAATGCCACTTATTGGTTGATAAGTCCAAATATGTGATGACAAAGACAATTAAAATCTCAACTTAAATTCTACAAATCTATTTTTAATAAAATGGATATCTGTGATTTTTTTATTTTTGAGATATTTCAAATAAGGTCAATATTGAATATGAAATTTCAAAAAAAAAAATAAATTTAAAAAAGGAAAAAAGAAAGTAAATATATTGGCTTTTCGTTTAATCAAAATAGCGAAACAGCACTTTTTGCAAAAATAAGCACTCGAAACTGATTTCGACAGTTTTGGATGAATAGATCTCCAAAAAAAATATATGGAATAAAAACTTTTAAAATAGGCTACCGAACGCAAATGTATGACCTATTGAAAATTTTCCACTATAAATATTTTTTTTTTCATAAACAAAGTGTTAAGATTTCTTGAAAATATAACTATGATATAAGGAATAAGTCCATTTATTAGGATTCACACGTAAGTATCTCAATATATATTCCCTCTCCAAAGAGATTAGAATTTTGAAGCAAATCTAATCAAAAGGACAAGGACCTCCACGGAGAGACTGAAACATTGCAATGAAAATGCCTTCTTTTTGCATTTGAATCTAGGCGGGCCACCGCTAGGCACTGCCAAACAAAGTACAGCAAGACAAATTATTAATTTTCTTGAATTACTTTCAAAAAAGAAAAAACACAGTCGGTATACAGGGGTGTTTTGAAAAGATAGTTAAAAGTTGTTCTTTGATTTTTTTTGACTTTTTTGTGAGAGAAGAAAGTGAGTTAAAAACTCGGAAGTGACTTTTAACCTACTTCTCAAAATGGCCCACAATATTGGTTGTATTGCATGTGTGCTTAAGTGAAAGTTCAACCCACCGTAGAAAACAAGATGTTTGTAACCAGAGGGTACATAAATTCATAAAGATTTCATATTTGAACAGTAAGTGCAGCTATAAAAAATTAGGTTAATTGTATATGAATAGATATTTGTTTGGATCACATCTGTATGGGAAAAAAAAAAAAAATCAAATGCCTGATTTTGAAGATAGTTTGTCTATTTTTTTTCAAACAAATGTGACTTAATCAAATGACTACTGTTATTCGATCAACATAATTTTTTACACGGATATTGCACTCAATAGGCACTATGAGATGAACGGTTTGGATCGTTGAGGTGCGTTCATAGTGAGCCCACAATAGCCTGAATGGACCTCTCCAACCCAGTTATGTCAAAGTTGTGATGTTTGTTGTATTTTCTTTACACCAAAATGTCAATGTAAATTACCCTAGAAAAAGTAGAGTTGGGAATAACAATTTCCTAATTTTCAAGTAAAATTATGTTTGGATTATGGATTTAAGTGAAACTTTTATGAAAGAATAGATATTTGTTTTTTTTAACTTTTTTCTTCTTTGTTTTCTTTTCTGTCCACAAATCATTTCTCAAATTCTTGATTCAATCATAACCTAAAAATTATCTTTGTTAATTTTTGGGTAGTTGATCCCATAGGCCTAGTTAACTAGTAATCTCATTTTATTGTAAGGAGGACTACAACACAATTAAATTAGTGAAAAATAAAATTTATTTATAATTTTTTATTAATTAATATTTTGACCCACACCCTGACATACCTGACTCTCCAAAGAGGGGACTCAAACACTGTCTAACCCACAAGAGACACCACTACTAGGCTCACACAGCCTTGGTGGTCTGATCATAGGTTGTTGATTTGAGGTGTGAGCGGTCAATTGTTGCAGTTTGATAAGCCAACTACAAAAGTTAAGAAGCCTACCAACCAAGGGCCTCTTTACTTCTATGTAAGTTATTGTGGTTGCTGAGATCATATTAGTTTTTTTTAATAGTTTTAATCTTATGAATGAAAGCATTTTACCAATTAATCTCAACATAAGAAATTGAACCTCTATTTCTGTGTTTCTTTCGCCACCAAACACTTCAACATAAGAAATTGAACCTCTATTTCTGTGTTTCTTTCGCCACCAAACACTTTTCTATTGCCTTTGTGCCATTTTATGACTCTTTACTAAACCAAGTTTTAATTCATTAAAATTTTCACGGACTTTGTGAAATGATCATTTGACAGAACTTCCGACTTGATACTATATCGAATGGCAGCAGGCATGGGATTTTCTATATGGACCTCCCGTATCCTGTGTTCAAAAATCACTCTCTACTGCACGGCAATAAAAGAGTGATTCATATTCATCGTACGGGATCTATATGAATTTCCCGTACTCCCTATTTATGACGTCGCTCTTTATTGTACGGTCAAATAAAAGAGATCAATCATTATAAAAAAATCTTCGTATGTTATTTATTACACAATCAGATTAGAGAGATTCATCATGTAATAATTGGAGAATCAAAAACAAAGCTAGAGATTCATCATATAATAATAGAGCATCAAAAACAGAATTCACACGGGCTAGGACTTCCAGAATTGTATACATATGGTTTATGTATGAAGCAGGCTTTGTTAGAAGTCAATCAAAAGCAAATTGGTGGCCCAATTAACAAATTAGGAGGTTATTCATAGGCGCAGACATTAGAAGAAGAGTTTGTTGAATTTATTAACATTAATGATTGAAAAAGGACACAAACAACGAATTACCAAATATAATAATAGAAAATTAAGCACTCTTTTCATTACTAGTCAAACTGATGAATATACATCTTAATCTCTCATCATACATATCAAACCTCAACAAACAAAAGGACTCTCAGAGCTGAAGCTGATAGCAATGACCAAATAGCAGAAATAAAATTAAAAAAAGGCATCCAAACAGAGATTAACGAAACTATCTACTACTGGCGGGTGGTAACAGTCCACCTCTGCCAAAAAAAAAGGGCCTCAAGAATAGAGGGCACCCCATTATTAGGGTACCCCCACAAGCAAATTAAAATGATAAAAAGGCCATTTAAAATAAGCCCCTTTTCATTTTTTTTAAACCCTAGAGGCCAAAATTACCCAAAATAGATAATAATATATACTTCCTAATTAAAAGTCACAATACTAATACAAGTGACTATATCTAAATTAAATCTCTGTGTTACAGAGAAATTAAATTTGAGAATGGAGAATCCCCGTGCTGTTGGAATATGATTCTTTAGCGAAATTGTCTTCCGCTAAAGGTCTGACCGAAGGACCAGCTAGCTGGGGCAACATTGTAGGAGACCACGCTACGACCGTCACTAGTGGTGACCTTGAAGGAGAGGGTTTGGCCGTTGAGGTAGGTGTTGCTTTGCCAATTCTGGCCCCAATTCCTTGACATTGGCTGCCAACGGGTCCTGAACCCTTTGACGGCCACAGCATGTACATCACCAGCACCACCAACGTTGGTTATAAGGACCAAGTTGAAGTAGGAATGGCCATTGATGGTGAACCTTATGCCTCCCCTCCTCCTGCAGGGTACCCTACAAAAACCCATAAAAAAGGAAACAGTTAATAACCCTTCCAACCAACAATTTGGCAAGGGAAAGAACAGTGAACATCACTAGTTTTATCAAGGGTTAATTACATTTTACCCTTTAATTAATATTTAATATTATCTTATCATCTATATTCTAAAATCATACATTTAGATCCCTTAATTGAAAAAATAACCCTTTGGAGCGAAATGAAATCCAAATATATTTTTTTGAAGTTGAGAGATAAATTATATTAAGTGATAATTGAGAGACAAAAGTTGCCGTTTGACAAAGGTTGGGTTTGGGTTTAGGTTTGGGTTTGGATTGGAACTACGAAAAGTACAAAATACAAAATATAAAATACAAAATGTCAAAATAAATTAAAAGGATGAATATAAATGTACTTGTTTATATAAGAATACTTATTTGGATAGATAAGAATACTTATTTGGATCACTTCATAATAAAATAAAATCACAAAAATCAAAATTTTCTTTCAAAAAGAAATTAGTTAAAAAGTCAAAAAATCAAGCTAAAAAAATTCTTCCCAAATCAATCCTAAGTGTAATTAACCATTTTATTAATCTATGATTTGGGGAGGAAAGGGGAACCCCAAGAGACAAAGAAAGAGACATTGAACAATGATTTTGGTGCCTTGTTTGGACATAGATTTAAGGATTTAACTCTTTAAAATTCCAACTAAAGAAGATCCTGGCTTAGAGACAGAACACAAAAGGAAATGGGTCAAAATCCGAAGGAACATAAAAAGAGGAATACAAATCTGTTGAAACAACTCAAAATAATTGCAATTTTCATTGACTTGCAAGCGAAAACTATGACATGCAACAAAACATTTTCACTTTTTTGCAATTCCTCCCAAAAAAAGGCCATTGAAGACAGTAATTAGCCAAACAATAGTTGCTAAAAGATCAAATAAAGAAATTAAAAAAGAGAAACAAGATTTTGATATCAAAACACCATAAAATGAGCCATTATGAAGATACATAACATGGTATTGAAAACCATTAAATAAAAAAAAAAATGCAAACCCCATTTTGAACATACCTTCTGTAAGAAACAGGGACAATACCAGCTCTGGATTGGGCAATGTGTTGGAAGACAGGCTGAGAGAGGTCAAAGTGGTGCTGAGGAGGGTTACACCATCCTCCAGCATTGTTTGGTAAGGCATTGTTTGGGGGACAGAAATTGGTGGCAGTGACTACAATGGAACCACGGAGGCACCATTTGCGGTCATTGACACACCTAATCTCAAAGCAAGAACCACAGCTTAATCCACTGTTGAACATTGCTGTGCTCAGTGCTGCTGTGTTTGTTCCATACCCTTGGCTGTACAAATTCCCATACCCACATGCTCCTCCTGCACAAATTCCACTCCCATTAGAATTTTAAAATAAGAAATAAAAAGTAAAAAAATTAGTTAAATGGATATTCTCTAAAATTGCACTTTTATTTTATTTTTTGACATGGGTTTCGCTCCGACTAATAATTAGATAGATTTTAGGACTTATTTGGTGGTGTTTTTTTTTATAAATTAAAAGTTAAACTAAAAGCACTATTTTTCTAATTTTTCAATAACTAAGTTGTTTAAGTTAATCTGTTGCATAAACAGTAAAAAAGCTGTACCAAATTAAAACACTATGATACCATTAAAAAAAAAAATTTTAAAAAAAAAAAAAAACCAAAGTTATAAACAGCTGTATAAGCTAAACCAAACAGGGTCCTAATCTATGTCCCACATATGTCCAAGTGACTACCAAACATAAGCCCTCAAATAACATCAGGGGACTTAAGATCTTTTACTCAGCAAGAGTCATTGGTCCACCTTTAGCTATGTTTAGATCAATAATTTGAAGAAAAAAGTGAAAAAAAATTGTTTTATTTCATATTTTTACTTTTCTTTTTTTCTTGTTCTTTTTTTTTTTTACAAATTTCTCCTCCAAACAGAGCCTTGGGGTTATGTGACATTGTACCTTTGAGTGAAAAGAAAATGAAAACAGAGCAATACATACCCATAGTCCCAGAGGCATCACCCCCACCATAGAAGGTGGCATGAGCATTGATCCAACCTCCATACCCATGAACAAAGGACACCATTGAAAGAAAACCCACCAACAAAAACACAGTAACACCCATTTTCCTGCACAAATCAAAGTATAACATACACCATTTAGCATTTTCTTTAAATGTTCACACTCTACAAGCACATTGAAAAATTACAGATGAGAGAGAGAGAGAGAGAGAGAGAGAGAGAGAGAGAGGGAGATTACATTGAGATTGAGGGAGAGTCTTCTCAAATGAAGTCATCTCAAGGTCGGCTTCAGAAAAGGATACTACTGGTCCTTGGCATTCCTCTGCCCGATGTCTCTTCTCCCCGACTTGGTAGACATGCTGCAAATGCTTCACTTTCTGGGTCTCCCCCCTGATCTCGTTTTCGCTGACCTTCGAGTGAATTACATTAATTACCCGAGGTCCTCTTGCTTGAGGGGGGGGGGGGGGGGGGGGGGGGGCTGCTGTTGCTGTGTTGTTGGGACCAAAAACCGCTAGTAGGGTATTGAAGAGGAGAGAGAGAGGGGGGTTTGTTTTTGACGGTGGAAGACAATTTGGGCATTGAAGAGTGGTTTTGTGGATTGAAACCGTGTGGTTTTGTAGGGTTTGGAAATCTACCCCAAATCGAAATGGGGTCTACTGGTGTTTTTGGTAGTGGCTAAAAAGCTTCTGAACCCACATGCACATGCAAGCTAGCTAGCAACTACCATTGGCTGCAAATACCCTTCTCTCTCTCTCTCTCTCTATCTGGGTTTTGTGTGCGTGTGAGAGAGATGTAGAATAAGATAGAAGTATTTTTTGTATGAATAATTTTTTTTTAAATATTAGAAGATAAATATTTGTATTGTTAGATGGATTTCGTTCAGAGTCCACTGACAGCACCATCCCTCAAGCTGTGTTCTTTATTTGTATTATTTCCCATTTTTTTAAATTTTTTTGTTAATATTACGTGATTATATGTTCAATTACTAATATTTTATGATTTTTTTATGTTGTTCTTATTTTTTGGAGCTATGCAAATATGTAATTTTTTATTGTCAAGAGGCACATCAATACTCTAAAAATTTTTAAAGACTATTTGGGATGTCTTAAATAAGTGTATTTTTTTTCTTTTTAGACTAAAAAATTGAGGATAAAAATATAGATGTTTGAGTTAATTTTTTGACTTTTTATGAAAAAATGTGTAATAAAAAATGGATTTGAAGTAATGTTGTAGAGAAGTGATGTGACTCAAATAAAAAATTAAATTGGGAGTTGTGCAGCCGTAATTGTTGACTTTTGGTGAATAGTGTTAACTTTTTAACTTTTTGAGTAACTTTTTGACTTTTTTACAAATTCCCAAACTTGGCCTAAAGGTTCTTTCGGGAATATATTTTTTTAGTAATTTTTTAGTTAAAATATAATGTAAAAAAAATTAGTATGTTTAGAATGATTTTTTAGTTTTTTACAAAAAAAATGTGTAAAAAGTATAGAGAAAATAAAAATTTTGACTTTTTTGTATAGGTTGTTGGTTTTTTGATTTTTTTACTAACTTTTTAACTTTTTGATTAAAATCATCCGTTGCCAAACGAGACGTAAATAATTACTCCCTAATCGGAGAATCTAATTTTTTTTTTTTTAAATGATAACTATTAATAGGTTCTAATAGTTCGACTTAATTCTTATCAAATTCTATTAAAAATATGTCATAATAAAATCGTCGCTAAAGATAATTTTTTGTAACGATTTTTTATATATATCGCTAAAAATTGACAATTAGTGATTTTTTTGTTATAATTTTCATAAATTGTCGTTAAAACTTACAATTAGTAACTTTTTTATGACAAAATTTTTAAACTATCACTCTAAGTTGAAAATTAGTGACTTTTTTGTTATGATTTTTTTAAACCGTCACTAAAACTTATAATTAGTGACAGTTTTTACAAAATTTTTAAATTGTCACTAAAAATTAATAATTAGTGACATTTTTTAATAGTGTTTGATAAAAAAGTCATTAATTATCCTAGAACCTATTGAATAATTAATTTACCTGTTAAGGCCTATACATAAATTTCTAAAAATATATATATAAATTTTGAATTTTATTAAAAGCTCTCGGGCAGAACCCTCGAATCATTTACTTTCTGTTTGAGCGTTTAATAGGAAAATTGAAGGATTTAGAGAGATAGAATCATTGTCATATTTGAATTATTTCCTTTTTCTTTTCTTTTTGACTTGAGTTAATTTCTCACATATAGATCATGATTTAAGAATAAAAAAATTATTTCGTAATAACAATTCTTTGGTTATTAAGATTTTGCCTTTGAAATTACAAATCACTCTGCAAACTTCAATTCTCCATCACCATGTAATGAGGAAATTACAAATCACTCTGCAAACTTCAATTCTCCATCACCATGGTGCTGTTTGATAACACTTACGTTTTCAGTTTTCAGTTTATATTTACAAAAATTTTAAAAACTCAAATAAAAACTTGTTTGGTAAATTTGAGTGGTTATATGTAGGGATGTACCAAAAAAATTAAACATTCCGTACCAACTCATCGTATAAAATTATATGAAATTAACAAATTGATCAGTCAATTTTATCACTTAACCAGTCCAACCTAATTGATTGATCAGTTAGACTGCTGGTTAAAATTTATTAATTCCATATAATTTTATACGATGAGTTGGTGCAGGATGTCTAGTTTTTTAGCACACCTCTACACATAACTACCTTTAAAAAAAAAAAAAAAAAACCAAACTAACATAGGCTAACAAATAAAATAAAATAAAATTAAAAAAAAATTGACCAGTCAATTTTATCATCCAATCAGTCCAACTCAACTCACTTGTAGAATGTCTAATTTTTTAACACATCTCTATATATGAACTACCCTTGCAAAAAGAAAAGAAAAGAAAAGAGAGGAGAAAAAAAAACAAAAACAAAAACAAACTACCACTGTCTTAAAAGAAAAGAAAAAAAAAAAAAATGGGATTCGAGGCAAATTCGAGACCTCAAATTCGAGGCCTCAGGCATTTTCCTATTTCAAAATAGAATGACATTGAAACAAACGATGCGTTTGAAACTATAGCCCTGTTTGGTAGAACTGTGGAAAAGTGCTTATACCTTATGCCTCAACAGCTTATAGCTTATAACTTTCAGCTTAAGTTGATTTCCAGCTTATTCTTAAAGTATCTCCTGCCCCACTCAAAGAACAAGCTGATTTCTGACTTTCAAAAAGTTATAAGCTATAAGCTAAACTAAACACATCAAAATAGTTTAAATTAAGCTGAAAGCTAAAATAAGCTGTAATTAAGCTCTGCCAAACAGACACTATCAAGACTTGGTTAGCAAAATAGAAAATTTTCCAAGGAAAAATAATCTTCAAAGTGCCAATTGAGATCAAGGCCAGTTGTGTCACATTGGTCATATACATAAGAAAGATGTAAATAACGCATATATTCTCCATCATTTGTACTTTTTGTTGTTCAAGTGTAGAATTTGAATGAATTAAATACCGTCGAATCTTTTCCTGTTTAAGGGGATTTAATATAAATGATTGAATTATCAACTTGTGTCAAAAAAACATAAATAATCCCTCATTAAATAATATGTACATGGGGTTCCCCAAGACAACCAACAACCAACAAATATGTCCTCTGTTCTTCAGTACTCTGAAGCAGAGCAAAAACAGAGCATTCCCGCTGCATGTGAGTGGTGTTAAGTATAATCTTAATTAAAAAGCTCTTCCTTCTCAATTCCACTGCCAACCTATTTTTGAAAGTAAATTAAAAATTATTTTTTGGGTTTTTTTAATTTATTCTAAAAAAAAATAAAGAGATAATATAATTTTAAAAAGTCAAAAAATTTAAAAATTAGCTTTTAATCCAATTGACAAAATGGGCATTTATATGGAAAATTCTATAGTACACACCTTATTTGGGGTTGTGTACCAATATATTCCACTTATGACATTTTTAGCTATAATTTATTGTAGTGTTAATTGTGACTAGACTATGACTCATTGTAATGTCATCTATAACTCATTATGATATTAGTTATAACTTATTTTGATTATGATCAAAAAGATTTTTGATTATACCTTATGTAATATTTAGGTCTCGCTTGGGAACATTAGTTTTTTACAAAAAAATGTACAGAAAAGTAGAGAAAGTGATGTGACAACTGTGACAACTTACAGTGTCTTTTTAACTTTTTGACTAAAATGTATAGTTGACAAACGAAACTTTAGTTATGTCTCGTTATTTTTTGAACATATTACTATTTTTTGTTGAACTCCTTAAGATTAATTTTGCAAGTAGAGCATCATCAACAGATCCCTTATAATAGCTTTTTGCTAAATTAAGGGGTTAATTTTTCAAAAACCATTCCCTACCAAATCTCTCATACATTCTCTTAAATTTAGGATTGTTACAGTCACTCTTTATTTTTAGGGAGTCATTGTAGCTCTCTTATATCTAACAATAGTCGTCCACTCAGATGCCCTAGATGAAGTGATATGGGTAAAACTTACCTCGCCGATAGTCCACCAGGACGCCTGGCTAGCCGACCGCCTAGATGTCCAGCCCCTGGCTTCTGCTACCTTCTTCTGTGTTTGCTTTCAATGCTTTTCCAAACGCATATATATACAATGTTGTACAATTGTAATTTTGCTTTCAAATAAAATAACCTTTTTGTATTAATTATACTATTCAATTATTTTGTTATTAAAAAAATTAAATTTAAAAACAATTAAAAAGATTATTTTAATAAAATAGAGAAAGAATATGGAATTTGTTAGGCGAAATAGATGAAAAAGTGACTCATAAAATAGAAAATAAATTTTTTAATAATATTTTAGTATAAAATTTAAGGGATATGTTGAGGTTGCTATTAAAAGCTTGTTTTGGTAAGTCGGTAAAAGTCAATTTTTGGCTTTCAACATATTTTAAGTTATATCATCTTTTTTTTTACACGTTTTTCAAAAAAACTAAAAAAAAATAAAAATTTAATTTTTAACTAACTTCCCAAAAAAAAGTCAAAATATGAAGACATTAAAATTAAATTTTGATAAAAATGATAAATGTAGTTAAGATCATCTCCAACCAATGTCATTTCTCAAATAGCAAGACAATTAACAATATTTGACACATTTATGAAAAACGAAGCTGCCATTTACTTCGGTGTCATTTGGTATTACTCATGTCAAATTTTACATATAGGGAGAGGGATGTCAAATTTACTTGTTTTGCTTTTTTAGCCTCTGTTTGGCAAGTTGG